AGGGAGGGCCAGGCAGGCTGCCAGGACTGGCCACTCAGCCCCAGACCTCTCTGGTTCTCTCTGCTCACTTGCGTCCTGGAAGTCCACGTCGTTGCCGATGTTGGCGTTGCCCAGCCGGTTGGTCATGATCTTCAGCTGCATGATCTGCTGGCGAATGGTCATGTCTGGCTTGGTGATGTCCACCTCCACCTCCGGGTTGTTGATCTGATTGGCTAAGCCGTCCCCCATCACTTCGGGCAGGTAACTGCAAGGAAAGGCCACACGTTGGGAGGTCTCCCCACGGCCTCAGGGCACTCGTGAGGGTGCCAGCCCTCGTGAGGGAACAGCATTTTAGACGTGCATGAGATGCCCAGCAACAGCTCTGGAGTTTGTGAGGTACACCCAGCCCTTCTGCCTTCAGAGTGCACCTGGAATTGCAGAACTGCTTCACTGGTACAAAACTACACAGCTATTTCATGGCAAACCCACTTCAGGGCCTAACCTTAAAGCACACAGCAAGATGACAACAGGCTTGATGTTCCCAGGTACCAGCTTTTCAGGAAACGCAGCATTTCTGTGGACAGGGATGGACTTTTCGGCTCAGTGTGAGCAAGGGGAGCTGGCTGAGATGATGTGCAAGTGTGTTTTACCAACCCCCCCTCGCTCTCCCCTCAGTGGTGCTACCCTGGCCCCCCGACCCGCTCCATACCTGCCCTTGGTCATCCCGTTCCAACACTTGTCATCTGCTGCTGAGCTGGCCATCACTTTTTTGCTGCACAGGCTGCCAGGCAGGGTGATCCAGTAAGTCTTGAGAGCTGTCAGATTCCCTTTGGCATCTAATACCTGTAAACAAAGAGGATGCTGAGGGCCAGGAGAGCTCCAGGATGCCCAAGGGCTGTGGAAAGCACAAGGATTCTGCCTATTTTCTTTTGTTTTACCATCACAAAACGTGTTATTACACACACAGAGATGTGTCACCAACCTTCCCCTGAAGACCAACCGTCAACCCGAGCACTCAAGGCTGAAGTTTCCATGCAAAGGACAGTTCTGGTACAATAAGATTAGCCATGAGAAGATCATCTTCTAGGCCACGAGGGCAATGCTGAGAAGCAGCCTTGGTGGAAGCCAGCGGTGCTCTGCTGAGGTGGGACAGTGAGTGCTGTGAGTGAGGAGCCTCTGAAGTGTGGGCCCATGTCAGGTCCTGCATCTCATTGTCCACAGAATCCAGAATCTCCATGGAGGAGGACCTCTGGCCCCAGCATCCAGGCTGGGCTGTTTGAAGCTGAATGACACCAATGGCAAGAAGCCTTTTCAGATAAATCTGGCACCAAGTCCCTGAGAAATTGGTTACCAGTAAGCTAGACCCCAACCCTGTGCTGAGGTGAGATCAGATCTGCCCACGCCACACCAGCACTCAAGTCTGAGCTTCTTCAGACTCACCAGCAACGACAGATCAGCAGCTGTGACCCAAAGGACCCAGTGCTGCACTGGCTGGGCTCCCAGTGCTCCCAGCACACCAGCAGGCCTGCTCTGAGGCACCAGCAGGGAGGAGCTTCGGGGCCAAACTCACCAGCAGCTCCAGTGCTTGCGCAGAAGATTTCGCTTCCAACGCAACCTTCCCTCTCCTCCTCTTGTCCTCACTGCTGGAGCCTTTTGTGCTGATTTTGGGGTTTCCGCAGCCTTGGAAAACCTGAAAAAGACCAAAGAAGATGAGAGCTGCTCACACTCAGTACACCAGTGGTGTGGGCTTAAGGCAGCTCACTGCATGTGAGCTTCATTGATCTGGGCAGCAGACCGAGGTGGGACTACCCCAGTGACTCCTGCAGTCAGCACCTGCACTCAGGGGCACTCAGAGTAAATGTCCCCTCTGCCCAGGGGAGTGCAGTGACAGCAGACGTGCCACCATCTGCCAGCGTGGCTGCTGCAGGGCCCAGTGAGGGCCAGACTGATTTACCTCCTAAGGTATCTCACATCACTCTGACTACCTGCCCAAGCACGTGCTGTAGCTGAAGAAGAGCAGAAGCACTCTGAAGGTACAAATGTAACGGGTGCTCTGGGAGTGCCTGTTCCTCCCAGTGTCTGCACGACCAGCCCAGGCAACATCTCCACTGCACACAGCCAGTGGCTGGGCAACTGAGCCTCTCTGTGGCTAGTGGAAGGAGGGCTCAGATAGCCACATTTCAGGACACGTCAAAGGTCAGGGAGACCTTTGAACTGCCAGTTTGACTCAGGAGACACCAGCCTTCACAAAGAAAGGCATCTGACCTGAAGGATGGCTCTGAGCTTGCTGTGGCTACCAGGGTGCTGTCAGAAACTATTGCTGGGCTCGACTTTGCCCGGAGTCCCCTGGAGCAGAGAAGCCAAGACCTCCAAGGGGAGCGCTGCTGAGGTGGCTCGTGCCAGCCCCTGAAAGCCTTTGGTGGGTGCTGACAGCCATCAGCAAAGTCCTGCTCCACACCAGAGTCCCTCTGGGGACAGTGGGTCTCACCAGCGTGTCTGAAGGACACTCAGCCCAGGAGCCCCTCCTGGGTGCACTGTTGTGAAGAGGGATCCAACGACCACGGCAGTTCAGCACCAAGCCCATTTGTTATCTGCCTCCTGTGCTCCATGCACAATGCCCCACCTTGAACACTGCACGTAGAGCATTTTCAGCTTGGTTCTACCAAACCCAAACCAATTTGGTTTCCCTGCTGTATCTTTCTTATTGGCCTGTTTCTGTTGTTAGCAGGAGACAACTCTTCAAGGAGGTAGAAGCCCTGGGAAGTCTCCAGGGCAGTGGCTCTAGCAGCAGCTGCAGCAGTGTGGTATCAAGGCAATCCTTCTGCCAGCCCCAGGGCTTTAGGTGAGCAAAGGCCATTACTGATGAAGAGAACACGTGTCCTGCAGACAGAGGTGACCAGTCTCTGGTCCTGCTGCCTGAAATCCACTGGGGAGGGGCAACGTGAGGCAGCAGGGAAAGCACTCTGGGGTGCAGTGAACACAGGCCTCAAGACCTTTTCTTCCCCCACGTCCCAGGAGAACCCATGGACTGAAAGTGTCACTGGGTCCAGGGGCCACTTCTGGCTCCTCTCACAAACAGCAGACAGTGCCCCAGCTCTACCTGAAGCCTGAATGTCTGAAGCCCTCAGCTGAGGGAGAAGGCTCCTGGGACTGGCCTGGGCCAGTCCTGAGCTCATGTGACAATGACATCCTGTCACCTGCTCACTTTGCCATGCTCAAAGCCAGGGCTCAGAGCTGCTGTGATCTCCAGCTCCTGACCTCTGCCACCAGTGCCACCAGCAAAGATGCCACATTCACCTGGCCACCAGGTCATCTGGAGAACCTGGTCAGATGTTTTCAAACATCATGGGCTTGTGTTTTTGTGGATAACCTCAGCCTCACCTAACAAGGGGAGAGAGAATATGGCCTTTCATGTCAGAAAAGACCCCTAAATGAGTGGTTGGACACATGCTGCTGTTAGTGCTTTGGTATGTGCCAGTGAATTCTTGCCTGGCTGAGCAATACTCATGGCCCTTCTCTTCTTCAAGACCCAGTTTGGACCTGCCCCGCTCCTTTCATCTGCATCTGCCCTAACTGTGGGATAGCTGCAGGACCTGGGAAATGTCTGGGCAAAACACAGAAGCCCTGGAGGGCTGGTTTTGTTCCCAAAGCTTCTCTCCCCTGCAGCTACAGAGGTGATTGTGGTTAAGTGGATAAATATACTAAAAACAGGAGACCAACAGAAGAGAGCTTCGTGATCTACTTCTTGGAAGAGAGGTGAGCATCAGGAGAGCCTGTTCTGTACTCTCCAGATGGACTCCAGATTTCCTCTTTGTCCCACAGACATACCTGATAGCCTGGTGTTTCCACTGTGGAACATCACCCCAAGGCAGGCTGAATCTGCTGCCTTCTGTCACTAGGGACTGTGCACTTGCTCTAAGTGCCTCAGCTCAGCCAAAATGACTTCAGGACTCTTCAGACACAGAAGCACCTGACAGCAGATGGCACCCTGCCTGAAGGAGGCTGGCTGGCTGTGGCAGGGAGAACAGCTGGAAACACCTCAGAAGGTTCTTGCCTGGGTAAGATGAGCGGCTTCCAATTGTTAAGAGTGGCTGCTTGACCTCTCCCATCCTTCTCCTCCTTTAGTTCAGCTGAACAGTGGGCACCAGAACATTTGGTGCTGGCAGCTGCTGCTGGTGCTCCCCCAGGCAGGCCAGGAGCATGCTCTTACCTTGGCTGTGATGGAGTCTTTGTTCTCTTGCAGGTTCGACACAGCTTCAGCGATCCTCATGTGGATGGTGCCGATCACCGCGTCGATGTTGTAGGGCCCGTCGATCCGATCAGCCACCACCATCAGGGCATCTAGCAGAGCAAGGCAGACCCCTCCTCAGGCTCTGCTCACACCCCGTTACAGGCCACGCCCAGGCTGGGGTAAGCTGCTGGCTCCTCAGCAGGCATCTCCCTGTTTTCACCAGTGCCCAAGCACACGGGCACTTCCCTCTGTCCTGGGACAGCTGCCCCTGCCCAGCACACAGGCAAAGCCACCCCCAGAGGCAGAGGGACAGAGGTCACCTCCTGCCAATGCTAAATGCAACTTGTGCTGACACAGAGTCACCAAAACTTCCCGGGGTGCTGCAGAATGGAAAAATGGAAAAGTGGTGCATTAATATGAAGTGATGCCCAGCAGTGCTTGGCCCCACCTCTCCTAACTCACTGCATGTCTTCAGCAAAGTGGGAGCCAGCAGAAATGGGAGAACTGAGGTCAATAAAGTGCCAAAGGTATTGGATGTGGGCAAGAGCTACGGTGGCAGTGAAGAGGTGAGAAAAGTGATTCTCACCATCACCTCTGGAAGGACAACATGTGACTAGCCAGGGAAGCATGAGGCTATGGGGGTGGAGAAGCACACTGAAATACCCACAGCTAAAGAGGACAGGGAGTGTCTGAGGGGTGAAGTGCTCCCAGCTCCCCCCATCTTGGCAAGCTCTGATGTCCAATACTGCTGCCTGGCCTGGAAGCTCCTGCCCAGAGGAATGCTTTGGCACTCTGCTTGGCTTGCAAAAAAAAATGACCAACCTCTGGCTACCTCCAGAGATGATTCTCAACAGCCCAGCTGGGCCTGAGGCAAGGACAGCCTGCTGCTTGCAGGGCTCATGGCACTGGGGAATGTCACTGCAGAGGAAAGCTGTCACCCTTGGTGTCCAGTGAGACTGAAATAGGATCTCAGGGCACGGCCAAAACTGGGTTTGGATATCTGAAATGAGATCTTAGCCAGGACTGACTTTGCCAGTCAAAAGCTGTAATTCTGGAAGTCACTACCATGCTGCTGCTGCCTCAGTTTCCTACCACTTGTGCTTCAGCAGCCCAGAGCCCAGGCTGTGCATAAGCTTCACCAGCATTTAGGGCACTGGCGTTCAGCTACATGTGAGCTCAGATGGCTCCAGTGTGTTGTGTGCCCCCAGGCACACCAAAAACCTCCTGGCAGGACAAGGCATCTGGCAGAGCACTGGGGTGGCCTGCACTCATCTGGATCAGAAAGTGCTTCCTGTTCCTGTGGAGGAAACAAGTGCAGTGGTGTCGTGGTGGTTCTTCTCTACACAAAGAGGGTCAAACCCCAGGGTCTAGGCTGGAGATCTGCACCATTCAGAAATTTAGTTACTCATGAAGAATGATTAATTCTTCCATCCTAAATCCTGATGCCTCAGCCATCAGCCTGGCAGGAGACTCACAGCAGATGGTGTGATGTTGCAGAAAAGCTGATTCAGCAGTATTTTGTACTGCTGATGTTAATGATGGGCAATGAAACCACGAGGTGGATTGTACCCAGCAGTTCCACACAGCACCAGCCAAACACGTCCTTCAACCTCCACCACCCCACCCGTGATGCACCCGTAACGGACTGACAGGGATCCCCGAGCCTCACAGCACCTC